CGATCCCTTTGCAACAACCTTCCGGAGAATTCTAGTATGAACATGTTAAAACGAACTTCCCTAGCTGGAACTTTCGTCCTGTAGCGATTTTATTATCTCATGTTTTTACGAGCACGCGATGCCGCCTTCCACCCCCCTTCCTAGAAGAACCTTATCCCATTTTTTTCGCGGGCTCCAAATGTCCTTCTAATGGACTATTCTGCCGTTATAACAACGCAACCGTTGTTTTATCGTGGCCTAGTTATTACTGTAAAACCGAGAGTGCTATCAAAGCATATCTACGACTTCCGTGAATGGCAGTAGAGGAAAATTCTTGATATAAATCAGATGAATGTAAATAAAGCGATCGTTTCTAGGCAGTACATAGCTATTCAGATACGATATTTATTTTCCTAACAAAAAAAAAAGCCTACAGCAAAGCGAGACATCGGAACTAGCGGCGTCAATACAAGAATCATAGAAGGCCTCGTTGGCCTCATCGTAACAAGATAAAATGTTTATATCTTAATACCAGCATTTTTAGTCAGTATAGCTGAAATAGGATAGATGTAATTAAGCCAATTGTCACTTGGAATCCTGGACTTAATAGCATGTTACTTAACAAGTAGGATCTTCTGGGGGGGATTGTTGACATCAATCAATGCAGACTATTTGAAAAAATGAGCTTGGCAGCAATCGCCTCCACATCTTCTTTATTTATTGAGGGTAACTGTTACAAAATAATCATTGTGCATAAATTATTGTTTCGTAACGTGCTATTGCCATGAACCTATAAAGGAACCTTTGCTGTGTCAGTGGCGCAGCTATGTTACTGAAAAATTCGTGACTGATTCTACGTAACCCCGTTAGGATTTTCCCGAAGAAGTGTCGGCTATAACAATCGAAAATCGTATCGAGGAGGCACAAATGTTAGATGCAACCATCACTAGCTCACAGTGTACTGTAAATGGGCTACATAAATTTAAAATAAATAACAGCCCTAACCTTTTTATCAACCGATTGACACATAAAATAGTTTCCCATTTAAAAAATTAGGCTGATAGACCTAGGAACAGCGTAAGCGGTTAACATATTCATTGGTTTGACTAAGAACATTTTTCCCAACTTGCGACACTTCTCTTCATTTTTGTCAGCATTTTATTGGCGTTCGCTTTACGCTGTTATTGCTCATATCTTGACGTTGAACGCTCATTACTGCCGCTAGGCGTTAATTTGAGACACCTCCAAGGAGAATCTCCGCTTCCGTTTGTGGGTCGGGCGGAACTCACACGCAACAATGAAACATACTGTAGTAAGCGCATTACCGACTATGCTACCTGTAGACTGTGAATCACATAAAACAGATAGATTCGATAATAAAACTATATAATATAACGAAAAATATAACTATAAAACTATAAAAACTAACTATAAAAAAAAAATAGGCCGTTAGAAGAGCGAAGTTTTTCATGATTTTACCTACCGGCCCTCACTAATAGCAATAATAATAATAATAATAAACTAAGGAAGCTAAATTACAGGCAAAGAGCCGGACACGATTTCCAGTTTACATGGATTCAACTGTAATAGATGTTCTCTTGCAGGTAACCAAGTAGAGTTCGCGAACCACGTTCTATGACAATTGTCCATTAGCCTTATATTTTATTTTGTTTTTGTAACGCAATAAAAAAGCGTGTTTTTCATTCGCAAGTGTATTCCTTTTTCCATCTGTCCTTTATTTAATTATTTACACTTGATTTTCGTCTTCGGCTTTATTACCATTTATTGTTTTATTGTCTTTGGGCTGGTTAACATCTATACTGATTACATCCGTTCTATACAAAAGTTGTCGTTATCATTATTTATATTATTATTGAGATCTACAAGAATCGTTTAGTTATCATTATGTTGTCTATTTTGTTTTCAAATATTTACAATTTGTCGCCCTGATCGACATGGTAATATCAAGGTTTCCTTGCCTGTTTCCATTACTTGCTTCATACGTTACTTTATTAATCGGTATTTCCATTATTTAATACATCATTTAGTATATACACATTCGCACACGTACGGCAATACGGTCTCACCCATGCCCGTTTCAATTACCACGTCTGTATACACTGCTTAATTCTCAGTCAATCTTCATTTTCTTCTGCAAATCATCATTCTTGTAGTGTCTTCGTTGCAAATGCAGAGTAGTGACTCGTTCTCTCTCAGTGTGGTAGAACGTCATCTAATGATTATATATATATAGGGTCATCCATTCCCAATATATCAACCCGATTCAGATGCTTAAACTATAACATGGTAAGGGGTACAGACAAACAAGTTGACAAGCACTGGAAAAAGACGACGCTTTACTGTCAATTTCAATTGAACGATTAAGATAATCGGCCTCTTTTAAGGAAACGGTTACTTGAAGGCCTGCGTCCGCGATGCTACTGAACGCTCTGCGGTAGACGTGCTGCATTCCCCGGTCGTTTTTGCGCGGTCCTGTACAAACGATTGGGTCTAAATGTGTTACTTCAGACGCTCACGCAGCTCTCGCACCGAACAGGTCGTCAATGCAGTAGCTGAGAACATATTAGGAGATGCGACCACCTTAGTAACTTGTCGATTGCGATAGTTGGTCCTGTCGTATGGATGTTACCTGCTATGTAGATCACGGAAATGTTTGGTCCTGTAAGTTTCAACTAACCAAGGAACTCAAACTTGCGGACCAGACTTGAGCATCATGTGTTTGCTATATGGACCGAAACTTGCAAAGCGAATATAATTTTGCATCAAAGGCTATCTCCTCAGTTGATCCGCAATTTCTACTTGGCTGGACTAGCCAACACATAAAAGTGCCGCAAATGCCTATATTAGAGCTCCTGCTACGTTTATAAGCCATCACTATGTACAGCTAAAACGACCGTATCGTTCGAATTCTGAACAAGAGACGGCGTTTTTGTTCTTAACTGTTAATGATTTTCGTTTCTAAGCACTGTCTAAGGCTGATATTCGATAAGTTTAACTTCGACAAGACGCGGCTTGTGAGACTCAACGCCCCTCGACTTCCTTTTCTGTAGGTTTTTTTTTTCTAGAAAACAAACTCTAGAGAATTAGGGATTTTACCACTGAAGATTTCAACAAATCTACCCAACATTTTACGGCAACGGTTTATGCCGAACACGAATCAAGTGGAGTGTTCTATTTCTATTTGGCAAAGAAATCTCGAGGCAGTCGTCTAGGTGATACACCGCCCAAAAAAATACAAATATTCATAGTTTGGCATATGCTTCTGCTATTGCATACAAACGCTGCTGTTTATCACAGTTCAAAATTAATACATCGCAAATGGGTCACCCTATATATATTCATATTATATATGTATTTTGTCTAATACGCGTGATCTATGTGCCACATGGCTGGACCACACTAGCCATCGCTATCCGAGATTCAAAGCCGTCCTTCGAAACAGCGATTACTATTGCTATGGAAGAGGCATATTTGTCCTTAACTAATCAACTTCTACATCGTCTATAGGTGTATCAACTAACCGGCTCATGCACGGTCAGAGTGCAGACAAACAGATTGTTCAACCAGCGGCCTTCTCTCACCTTATGCCGAGGTGCTGCATATACGATATATTGCAAGATTGCTTGTCTCTTCCTAGCTTTCACTTAGGCACAATGTTCGCGTTCCACTGATATACTACATACGCTTGTCGATTCATCTTTTGTGATACGTTCCGGTTTAGCTGAAATCCTAATAAGTGTATTCTTTATTTTCATTCCTGATACTTGGATCGGTGCGTATTCCGTCCAGTCGGTTTTACGGATATTCGCTCGAAAGTTACGGTCGTATTCGTATTGTTGAAGTTAGCTAAATATTATACTCACATCGCGTTGAAGGTTGTGTTTCCTCTGTTCGAACCTATCACCTATCAGTTAAGAGCTCTGTCGAAAGTACCCCGACGGAGCCTCGGTTTCAAGATAACTCAGTCCATGGTGCGGTTTGTTCATTAACTAGATTTTTACCGATTCGCTTTAGAAACCACGTGGTAAAGAGAAACGTTCGAATTTCGTAGGTCTTGTTGATGAGGCCAACGGGTGTCAGTTAAACTGATAGTGCTCCTATCGACAATTTTTTGCAAACTTTTCTTCGAGTGGCTGCCATTACGAGACATTATGCTTCCGTATGGCTTAACGATTTCAAGAAGTGAAAGTCCGACAGTTAGAACGCATTTAGCCTGAAGCATCTTCACTGATAGTTGATAGTCCTAAAAGTCCTTAAATTTTAATTTACACTCGACGTTGACATCTGCTATGAGCAAACCTAAGGTCGATTTTGAAGTCTGTCCATCCTGCCAGTTCTAAGACCAGCCACAATTTAGCATTTGCATTCCCACCGTATATATATATATAGACATACATATATCTAGTATAGATACAAAGTGGCCTAGAAAAGTGGCACGCTGTAGTCATCTTAGCCGTTTATAAAAAGAAAGAACATTTTTGATATTTTAGCTCTACGAGATAGAACAAACGTTAACACACAGTAGAATACCCATAAAGTTTTTCCAAGCGCTTAATAACGAAAATAAGCGGAAATAAACAAGCAAAAGCACATAGTCTTTCGTGTCTGCCCAATAATTTTGCAAACAATGAGTGATCAGGTCTGCAAGGAGTCAATCGCTAGCATAACAATTCATTACAACTTATATGTCCTGCCTAAACAGCATTGATAACAACGTCCACATAGCATGCATTTTGTAGGAATATATTATAAATGTCCTGACTGCTATTATCTCACACTGCATTCTATGTTTGTTTTGCATAGACGATATTTACATTCTATACTCAAGTGTTTGTCATACATATAGGTGATTATCGTGTAGCGACACCACTTACTCATAAATTTATTCTAACATTACCTTGTATTGCTCCAGACAGAACGAAGTAGTAGCAGCAGATCATCAACTTCCACGGGTCGGCGCTTTGTCTTGCGCGTTTACAAGATCATTTCCATTTACTTCTTATATATATATATATATATATATATATAGATTCTGAACCAATATTACATACAACTATTAATCTTTCACTCTGTTTCAGTGAATTCGTTGTAGAATAGCTCCTGAAAGGCAGCTTACGTGCCACCAACGTGGCCGCCGTTACACGCTATTGGCTGGATGAGAACAACACCCGTTTTGCAAAACAGAAGACAAAATTCTTACTGCCAGCTTCGTGATTTCATTAACCATTCGAATGCACGCACGCACGCACGCACGCTCGCTCGCATTCACTCACAGACGTATCACGTAATTATCGTACTTAACTCATAGGCGTAATCGTTTGGGTCGGTTTATAAAAGAACAAAACGGCACGTAGATCGGATAGAAATTCGCAAATATCGACAGGTTTCTTTTCGAGGAGAAAAAGTCGATAAATCCAGCTAATTTCTAGCTGTTTAGTTTGCACCTGAGGAAGAAGATGCAGGAAGCATTATCGGCTGCACACTTTTGCTCAATATGTGACTCTAACACCTCCTGCTCGTGCTGTTTCCACTTGTTACGTATTTTCACGAAAATGCAGCAATACATTAGGTGAATTTATATAGGTTTATATAGAATTTATATAGGTGGGAGGCGTTAAGGAGGATTATGATTTCAGACCTGTACCATTATCCTCGAGGAAAGAAATATAGCTTGAGAGACCGAAATAAATTATGTTATGTATATATTTCTTTGGTAGCCATCTAGCATCACATTAAGATCGGACTTGTTCTCTCCCTATGTCTTCGCTGTCACTGACACTGCGGTGCCAGTCCTTAGTGCGAGGAGAGACCTTCGGAAGGCTTTGGACTTTTGCGTCATTTTAACTTTTGTCAAGATTGCAGCTCGCTAAGTTAGCGGGGGAATGATGTCCCACAAGAGGCGCACAGTGACTGCTGCGGTGCCAGCGACTGCTTTAAATATTTGTTAGCTAATAAGTTGATGTATTACCGAATGTAGTTTCCAGAGCGGCGATGAATCCCGCTTGTAGAAAGAAAGAGATAGTGATATAAAGGGCTGGCAAGTTGTGCACAATAGAGCTTTACAGTGATGCACCGGGGCAGAATACAGTTTTGATGAACATGAATGGTATTCCGCAACATACGTAGAACAGCATTGTAGCATATTCTCGCTACTGTTGTTATTGCTTTTAGTTAACTACCTCGAGAAGTCTGCGGGTATTCCCCTACAGAGGGTAAAGAAGGAAGTGTCCCAGCGGCCCAGTATTTCGAAAAAAATTTCGTCGAGAAGACATTGCGAAGAAGAGGCATCTGTAAAAGGTACTGTTGGAAACAATTCGATGACCACATTTCCCAGAGACACACAGACACCCACCCGTAGACGCCTGGATATACACATAGTAATAATAAAAATCTTTTATCCTTATCGAGGTTGTACTATCTTCCAGAACAGACGCTGTCGAGATGTCTCTGAAGATCGCATTGTGCTGTGTCGCCATATTTCGACGACTGCAAGCGTTACTTGCGACCACATTGTCAAGAAGTTCCATCGTCATCTTTGCTGAAATGCGGTCGCGCACTTAAGCTCCAAACGTTTGATTTTCTCAGATGCCCGCTTCTTGTTTTGGTTATGGTGGTAGTTTATGCAAATCTCTCGACGTTCTCCGGATCGGCATAGATCGGAGACATGGCGGGCTGCGGGGGCGGTGGGGCGGGCTATAGATAAATCTTCTTTACCTGCGATTTAATGAGAAATGTATTTAGAGTGTCATGACTATGAAATGTATACGTGATTAAAATCAATTAACAACAACTGAGAAAATGATGCTCTCCTACTTCTTATATCAGCGAACTCAGTCATCTTGCACCCTTATAAGTTGAAGTTCGAAAATCAGAAACGGCTGAAAGATTGGATGTACAAGCTCAAACGACTGACTACTACCTGAACTAGAATAACTATTCCCGTTCAATTACGTTCATATATTTAGGTAGATAATCAAAGCGATATGATTCGGTATACCAACATACGCCTACGTCAATAATGACGTTTTTTCAAACTTGTACCTTCTGCAGAGTAGTCTTATTCTCGAGCGTGGCTTGCTGATGTATAGCAAGATTATTCATTTGAAGCTGCATTTGCTGCATCGTATTGTTAGCATTTGGCAATGGATTTGACAAATGGTTTGTTGGCTTGCCATTCTTATTGAGTACGAGGTTGATCGGCCGTGGCCCACCAACGGCATAGCTTAATTCGTGCCCATACGCTCCCATGCCAAGATCGGGCGTCATTAATCCGTTCATCCGTTGTATGTCGACATATCTAGATAGAGTCAAAGTAAATATCAAAGATAATAGTAAATTAAAGGCAATATAATGAGGTCACGTAGCTTTAGTATACCACCCAAGGGTAATTATAATTGTTCGCTCTAAATGCGGCCAGAAATTTAAAGTGACGTTGACTGATTAGCGATAACGCCGGTAACAAATTCATTGTGCTGCCGTCACGCAGGTCGAAATTATTTTCAAGGCTACTATATAACAATAAATTCATTTGATGGTTGGCATGTCTTCGACAAATTGTGTTTCAACATTGCAGAACCCTTAGGAGGTCGTATAGCTCGTTTTCTCCAGTTGATATTTAGAACATAATCTTGTTCTGTTGCTTCTGTGGAAACCTGATTATATGGACTAAGATTCAGTTGGTGGCACTAGTTAGTACATATGGACTGTTAACACGCTTGAAGTAAAAAAAGAGGTCGCACATAGGCCGAGTAGGCTAGAATAGATCAAATAACTATGTCTGTAAAATGTTCTCACTAGGCAAGCCGTACCTGGTGTAATCTTCTGGGCCGGTGTCCATTTCGATATCATTTTTGCAGCGTCTAGCAAAGATATACCCAGCGATGAAGCCGATTACAAGAGACGTAACGACAGAGGTCGTAACTGAGATCGCAAGGGTTTCGGCGGGATACATCCGTGATGACGAGAGAAATGGCCCTGTCGCTTCAATCACCGTATTTGATCCTGATCCATCAAGTTCGTTATGATTCCGTTCGAGACCTAGGTCATCTGCGGCTGCATCCCCTCGGGAATCGTCCACAATTGCGCCAGAGTTCGGATGTGGCCGAGCTTTAAAGTAATAGGTTGATCAGAAGAAGATAACGTTCAATTAATACACTTGCGTGGATGCGTTAGAGCATGCGCCATGCGCCCTCATACGGATTAAAGTAGCATTTTTTAATCCTACGGGCCACGAGCTTTGCCTATGAGAACGTTATTTTCTCTAGGCAGACATTGTAAGTTCAACAAATAATTTTGCTAGCAGAACGAACTGGAATCGAAGCTGGTAGGCAAGAGTAGGGAACTTAATAATTCGTGCAACTGCTAGATTAGCATTTGACAGTATTGTTTTCACTTCGAGTTTCCAAGAACATAGATCCATATCAAGTATGTGTTACCAAAGTAAAGAGCAGCGGTGTCAAGGGCAGGCGTTGAAGGACAGGGGAGGCAGGCCGTGAGAGAAATGTTGGACCCTCGAGGAGCAGTTCCTGAGGTGTCGGACTCGTCCAATGGCCCGTACGGGGTTGTTGGACTATATGTGCCGCTGGACGTTTGATCCCGGTCTACGGCGTTGTGACTTAACTCTTCAAGCACTTCGCTAGTTGCGCCAACTAAACAAATACAGCGGATTTCGCGGTGTAACAGCGGTTGGTGAGCATGCAGAGAGAATATTGGGAGCGACAAAATAAGGCGAGCCAATATCAAAGTTTCGACCAAGTTTTTATCATGCTATCTTCCCAAACAGGTATGCGTACAACTAGGACTAGCAGGCCGTCGTTTGTTTTCTAATCGCGTCAGTCTCTGGTGAACTAGCATTTGGTAGTTAATCAATCAAGTTGAACCAGTCGTATTGTTTAGGCCAAGATAAGACTAAAAATCATAGTACACATATTTACACTATACAACCACACAGGCAAAGCCCTTCTGGAAATTTAACTACACTACCAAGACGTCTACATAGTTAAGTGTGATGTTAGCAAGATGAAAGTAAAATAGCGAATTAGTACTATTCTGTATACTCACAGTTAACTCCACATCGCTCATCCCAACCATGCTCAATGCTCTGAACGCTGGAGTGACGATCCCTTCGCCAGTTGTGAGTGCACTTGCGCTCGTCGAGGCTCCACGCGCAGTACGGATCCTGCAAGCGGACGCAGTCTACGCAGCTTTGTGCACGCTGACAGTGAAAGAGTGGAACTCCTTGGATTTCATTATTGCTCACGACAATCAACTTTTGCTCGTATGGCGATCGCTGTACGACCAGATTCGTAATGGCGATCGGAGCTCCGGCGGAGTTCGTTGACCCGGTAGAACCGCTGGACTTTTCGCCTGCACGGCTACCGCTGCTACTGATTCGTGTTGGCGCGAAAACAAGTACGTCTTCAACCACGACAGGTTCAGCAATTTGTCCACTGTCACTAGTTTGAGTCAATGAGGCGACATTGACGACTTTCAGAACGTGACCATGATCGGTGCCGATAAATAGCACGTCGTACGCCTTCCCGCTGACGGCCTCCACTTGTGGGTCGACCGCAATGTAAGTGTACCGATAACTGAAACCGGTGTGCACAACGACAGGCCGGCCGAGGTAGGCTGGTACGGCCTGGTCCATCAGTGGGTGATTGGTGATGAAATTCAGCGTAACATCAGGCAATGATTTGCTGTTATTGACACATTGACCTGGCCGCGGTTCGGGCACTTTCGAATTGATCACTGGCAACCAGTTTGAGTTCTTATCTTCTTGACCTTTAAAGGCGCCGTGAAATGCGGCGTTAATATCGTCCAAGCGGAACGCGCAAACGGCCGATCCTGAGATCGAATTTGAACCTGTCGTCATCACGGAATAGATCAATCGAGCTCTTTCGCCACGATACGACCCCTCGACTATGGGACCAGTTGACTGTAACTCGTTGAAATAGAACGGCATATCGCCTGGAATGGAGCAATTGAGACGGGCTTTCAGGAACGACGTGAAGCGTTCCTTAAATTTATGTGGTCCACCCTGATCATTCGTACACACACGCGCTACCCTCGAATAGACGGCTTTACCGCAATTAATATACTCGACAGCGCTCTCGCGAAAGAAAAAATAGACGAAACCGGCCAGGTGCATCGATGACACGAATTGAGGGGCTGTGGTAAAAAAAAAATAAGTAAAGGCAGGGTTAACGTCACGTTGCGAAACACACGTACTGCGAGCTATAAATGATGTTAGCTAAAATCACTGCCTGCTAATGCAGTACGGTAGTAGTGAGAACATTTTTACGAAACATCTACATGTCTACGAAACTGCTCATTATATCTGCTTGTCGTTGTGTAACTGTATGAAGAATACGTACCATTAAGGTGCTTTAGGTCGAACTGCTCTGTACGTAGTGGTTTTCTGTAGATTAAGGGATCAGCACCGGAAAATTGGCCAACTGTGCCAACATAGAGATCGCCATCTGAAATGTCCAAGGTTAATGATAGGACATCTATATATAGAACCTTCATCTTCCGTCTACTAGCAGTGTCTGCATTCAAATCTTGAAGGGCAAAATGTAGTTGACAGGCCGGACAAACAGGCATTATTATTTAGAATGGTGCTTTTGATGATGTTGTGGTATTTATTGGTGTAACAATATTCCACATTGGTCTTGATGATCCTTGATGTGTTTTTCAAGAGCCACTCAAAAGATAGACACAGGCGACAAATTGTTTATGCCAGTGAACCTGTTCATTCATTCATTCATTCAGAGAATTTATGTAAATTAAAAATTATGCCAACCGTATTTCTTTACCTGTGCGATATCCTAAGGGCGCTGCAATCCGTGCGGCAATAAAAACGAGCCATAAATATAGTTATCATAAGTTAGCAAAGATAAATTCTAAGAATATTGCAACATGACATGCACCATATGATTAATGAGTATCTCCCATGTAACTCGTTGCATAAAATAGGAACCAAGTTTTTAACACGAAACAGCCAAGTTTCAGATGGAACGTAGAGTTCTACAGCAAGGGGGTACTAAATAGGTATATCAATCTCTTGAATAATTGAAGTACCGCACACGCCACAAAACGAATGATTTACCAGCAAATGTAAACGTAGAGTTGTGGTTGGGGTCATATGGGCATAGTCCCTCTCCAGGTTTCTCCTCGGTTAGGCTGAATTCGCCGTTAGACGCCCCGCGCTGAGTGTGACTGTTGTGACCGGACGATTTTCCAGTTGGAAGTAGGGCGTAGTCACGACACTTGGGTTTATAAGCGTTTGTGCCGCAGACCAGCACACGGTCGTGAGCTTTTTTGGCAATGACCCGGATATAGTTATGACAAGCCTCCTCACTCTTTCCTTTAAGTCGGCACATTTTCACATCCGATTCCGAAGGACGCCACTCAAGTCGCCGTCGAACTGATAACGTTGCCGCTGAGACATTATACACCATATTCCTTTATTTGATTAAGATAAGAAAAAATGGTCACAGAGATGAGCAAAAGGTTTTAAGTAAGCCTCAAATTATGATCTAGTCAAGTAATTATATTCAGTTGAAATGAAGAGATACCAACGGACCAGCTAGTGATAAAGTGTATGTATTAAGTTCGATTTATTACCCCGGTATCGAATTAAAGATTTCCCTAAAGTGACCTAGTTTTGTTCTTCGCTGGTCTGTAGATGTGGTTTGTGTATTCCAGAGGCGGAAGAGTGCCGATGTCGGAGCGGAAAGAGCCATCTTTAACCGAGTAAATGGTACATGTACTGCTACAACTACCAGTGATTTGGCCAAGACGATGTTTAGTCAACAATTATAGAATGGACTATATTATATCAATACTGTTCAACTTACGTACCTTATGATGAAGTTCTTTAGAAAACTACCTATATAATTTAATAGAAAGGTGGTAGCCTTAGACATCATCTGATGTAACTTACTTACCTTAACTATGCAAAAACAGATTTACAAAATAAGCACTACAGGACAGTTCCTATTGAGCTTTACATGAGTTTTGAGTTCTGAATGTTTATAGATATTATAAGTGGATTCATCAAATTTCAAGTGAGCAAGCAACCTTGTAATAATGGAAGTCCCTGGAAATAGACCGCAAATCAAAGGGAAACTGTAAACGGCGTTCTCAGGATAGGCGGAGAATTCCCTGGACGTAACAGCGAGATGTATATATAACAGGCTTTAATCAATCGCGCGACTTTAACCCAGCAATATGTTTAATCGAATAGGAACCGCACACCATGAAGGGCATATCCATAGGCAAAACGAAGCCACCGTATTTAATTGTACATAAAAATATGAATAAAATCACTATAACGATTAGCAGTAAATGCAAGCTCTGTTGGTTCCGAATCGGATATACTTACTTGGCTCCTATCAGCAGAAAGTCGCCGTCGTGATCTAACAGACGGAAGTGGTCATGTTCTTGTTCGCTGCGAAAACGTACCACACGATCGGCGGCTGCAGGAATAAATATACAGAGTAAATACGGGGAACGTTACATTGTTGTCAGCTTTGATTATAGTAATTTTTCATAAAATTTAACTTTTTTCCGCTTACATTAACCAATGCGATATTAAGCCGTTCGACGTAGATATTGATCAGGTGTTATTTTCCAGCCATTATGTAATTAAACAAATAACAGAAAATAGTTGTTACAGAAACATCATATATCTTTGTATTGGCTGCGCCAACTTGCACGAGCCAGAATATAAAAACTAGAAATAAACACTCCCGAAAAGATATAAATCACTAATCTATATTATCGCATAGCAGACCATACGAAAATATGACACACAGTGATAGCAACAGATACATCGAGCGCCTATAATACTGATGTAGATGATGACTAAATGAACGGTGGTCATACTGTAATGCGCCAGTAAAGGGCTGTTCCCTTAAACCGAGTTTCATTACGAGCATTGCTCATATGGTTTACCGTTCTTGAAGTTTTTGGCCTTTTTCTGTTTGTTCCCGATGAAACCGATCGATCGAGTTCTCCCACAGCCGGGCGACAAAGCTATCATCAAAGATATCAGCGTTGACGCGTAACGATACAAGGACAATGTAAAGTGACATCGGTGCCATCATCGTCGTAATACCTAAGCTATACTTCGGCTTGGTGGAATGCAATTCAGAAAGCTTGCCCTTCATGAGACATCTGCTAAACTGTCTATAGACGAAAGAATATAGTTCTACAAACGTCTCGAACATGTGCGCATATTGTGCCAATATATGCATAGATACACGCCAATAGATGCAGTACTTGCGACAGTATATATTCCTGTCTTCCGTCCCTTCTGGCGTGATGTGAGAGCGATCGACCGTGTAGAAGACACGTGTCGGACTATGGCATGCGACATGTGCCTTAGCTAACTTATTGTTACTTTAATACCATCTTCGTGATCCTACATGTGCACATAGATAGAAGCATGCGGAATTAGCTTCGTTGGTAGTGTTAGGCTGGATCAATGTACCTCATTTTAGTGATAACAAAAAAGAGCATTCGAATGCTATAGCCGTGCGCTTGACCTCAGAAGTGATGAAGCTTATATAGCAGATATTTCTTCATAATATAAAGCGAAATAACGTGGGAAAATATGCGGCAAGATGGTGGTTTGTATTGATGATAATAAGCTGAAATCTGTTGATGCCACCTTTTTAGCCGATTGACAACTAGAATGAAATGATTAGGGTGAGAAACTGCGCCCACGAGATGATTCCTCAAGAAACCAATCGGGCTATGAGAGTTCCGACATATGCATCATGGCGTAATAAATCCGGCGTTTCTACCACCTATTTCATAATACAAATGTGTTTTGCTTGTTCTAATAGTTGGAAACTCTCTTAGCGCCAATACCCTACAAAAAAACTAATTTAAATTACAATCAGTGAGACCCAGCCAAAAAACAACTCCGCAATCTCATGGGGCTGTGGTACAAATTTCGAATCGTTATATAATATTGCAATATAATAAAACCCAGTTGGCCGACGGCGTATGATGCATTGGGCTCATTGGTTTGGGCAGAAACCACGTAAACAGAGTCAAGCAGGTAACCACCATTCGACCCGATGATATAGTTTCTCGCAAGTCCCATGAGCACGAAAAGCTACTCGCTACTTGTCTGCCTATAACTCCTTTTCGGTTCAGACAAAGCACTAGATATAGACAATCAATATACAAATAAATGCAACATGTGTGGATAGGTGCTACGACACGATGTTTCTGAACTGAACACCCTTAGGTCGAGATTTTGAACCCTAGTCAATATATCTTTTCTGTGGTATTCCAGGAGAGCAGAGCTAGCTAATGTCTCATCTATCCTATCTGAGTTAGTTCAGGTTAACAGTACGATATAAGCTGACTGATTAAGTAAGTTTAGCGTGGACTTATCCCTAGTGTTTTCATTCAACTCCCGCATTCATATACTATATACAGTAGGGCAATAGCGAAAGAAAAACTAAGACGAATAAAAGCTTGGGGGTGTTTTATTTTTTTTTATTGACGCTTAAAGACGATGCCATATTGCACGGGGTAGGGGTTCTGTAGGGGCATCTTTTCATCCCAATCAGTTGCAAGGCACTTGACCTGCTCGAAATGCAGACAGAAATTACTTGAAAAACATGAGATTTTTGCTACTCAGTCCAATCATGTTTGTATGATCGTTTGCCAGACGAGCCATTTCTATCTTAGAATGCTCACAACAACGCAGTATCGACCTAGACTGGATTCACCAAGGGCAAAACTATCGACAAAGACTACACTTTCGTACGGTAACCTTTTCCATATGGTACTTGCGGTACCTGACAAGCGTTTCTCGTATGCAAATCTTATTCTAATTGACGCTAACGCCGAATCAGTTTTAGCACAAAAAAACAACGTTCGAAGGAAGTAAGTTAATGTTAAATGCGACGAAAACAATATAGCAGAAGCCCGTCATTTTAAGCATGCAGAACTAGAGCTATACTGATATTGGATTTTAGAGTTTTGCCTTCATTCTATCCTTCGTATGATCTGTACGAAGAAAACATCTGCTGACCGTTGAAAGCCATCGAAACTTTGTTGAGCTTTGTATCCTGAACAAAATCTCTAAGCACTTCAGTGGACGTTAATTTTAACAGCGACATCTACATCCGGCAATATCTACTAGAAGGATAGTCGTGGAGTACCATAACAATATTGGGCACAGAGTCGGCCGCACGATATTTTCCTCGCAAAGAATCTATGTTACATCGGTCGCACTTGTGGTAGCTGGGGGTGCTGTGGTTATCGCTAAATATTATTCAGTTCAACTGAATTAAACTGAAAAATTTTCCTTTCGTCCCTGCCTACCTCCACATTACAAGCATCCATCAGATGAATACTATTTACATAGTGATGGTAGGATACAACTACTTCTAGACCACCCTACCCTTTAGAATCTTCCTTCTCACCACTATTTGTCATCCTCTTCTTTTGGTTTTTGCAAAACTATAAATTCGCATGTGCGTGCCATCGTGAATGAAGGAGCGCCAGCGTTAAGTGAGCCCATGTGTTTGCCCTATCCAAGCCGCCAAAAGTAGGTTGGATTCGTCGTTCGCAAGCCTGTGCCGCCTGCAGCCAAAACCCGCCCTCGATCGTTCAGCATCACTGTCTGTCCTAGAAGATGCCGAAGTTCCTGAAAGTATTCATCCTAGATTGATCTCACAGTTCCGCTCAACTGAAATCGTTAGCCTACCAAACCCCAGCTCCGTATAAGAGGATCATTAACGTTGTTGATGGTAAGCTGCGGTCTCGGATATTTACCTACAAAGAAATGTATCTATGCACTCAACGAAGAGACCAAACGTTTCGTCCTTGCTCGAGTTTTACACAATCGTACATTATGAACCAGAACAAGATTCGATGACTGGCGAATCATAATTGTGTTTCTACCTAGAACGCATTTTCAATATTGCTTCTTAGGGTAACTGCTAAATGGCGATGAATAGGGATGACTCATGAAACGTTAAATCGTTAACGTCACCCTAAAAACTACGGCACAATCGTGCACACGCAAAACAAGTAGATCACACTATTTTTTCACTACGCTATACAATCAGTACCGCCTCAAAATGCAACTCCACCACCTTCAATAGACAACAGTGACTTTCACGTTCTCCCTCTAACATATGGTTTTCCTCCCTCTTTTTTACGTTTATTCGTCCCGTTGTCGCCCATTTCATGCAAAGTTACCCATTTAATTTTACCTATACTCTACGATTTTGTTTTCAATTCAGCTGTCAGAGTTATTATTGCGATACCGGTAGTTGTATTCATGTTGAATTGATAGTACCAAATTAAAATCCTTCCGTCTAAATCCGGCCGACACTTTCCACAGTAACTGTTAGCGTTAACGCGAGCTACTCCCGATCTCGTTTGGCTAGCGTGTCATTGGCCTGTCGTTGATGCCAGGCATTTAGTGCAGATTCAGTCGACTTGTCCTGTCTCGGCCACTTCAACCGATCCCGTTCCGTTTACTTATTCTTCTGGTTCACCTCAATCGTCAATGATGGCTCATCGGCCAAAGGCCGACCAAGGCGTCGATGGCGCTCGAACCGCCTTCCGCTGCTATCACTTCTTAGTGCCCGAGCTATACGAAAAAGAGACGCGCGATTATAGATGGACCAGTGAGCTAATCAACCAGCTGGGCAGTAACAAGCGAGACGCTGTCGGTTAGCTCGGTCGCGAGATAATTACCCGAGTAAGTTGGCTAACCGGCCTTGTTCAACTTATTTACGTATCAGACAAACAGATAACGAGTAACAGCGAGAAACGGATGACCCAGGCTGACAATTGTAAGAACCATTGATTTTGTCTCATTAACAGAAGAGGATGCCAAACCCAAATTGCCGGATAGCCATTATATTGTGTACGTTTTATTAGCAATGTAACAGATAGGAGATAGAGATCACTTCTGGAAAGGCTGCGTCTCCCAGATAGCGGTGAATCGCTTTACAGACGGGTCTAATCAAATATTACAATCGGTTACTATACCATAGAATTTTTTTTTTACCGATATTCTACGTAATATTAGTGAGGTGGAGATAAAGGATATAATTCACTATTATCGACTCGCTGATCGAGTGGCCGCCGTAACCTGTCGCAGACATGCGCATCCCTTCTACTTGACTTAGTTAAAGTACAGCTTATTCTACGGCGGCCAGCGGTTGCGACAGCGACTTCCGATATTTTCAACCTTTCAACGATATACCTATCTGTATACACAATGTAAGATCGATTGTATTTAGAATTTCTGCACAACCTCGAAAAAGTTGGGCAAGTAATATTGGGATAGTTCCTCTTCTGTGAAAGAAGACAGACACAGACGTTGGTGAGGCCAGAGTATCGAAAGTTCATGTTGATCAGACATAAGGTAAAATAACTTTCGTTGAATAAGCGTCACTGATCCCTTTATCAGTGAAGGCAAAGATTCGTTAAG